GGCTTTTCAGCTGTAGGAACATGGACAGCAGATACATGATTGATCGGATGCTGAGAGCTGGAACCTGTTCCGGTGGATGCCATCAGTTCAGTAGGATGACTGATATTCTTCTTGCCATTGTTGGATACTTTGTGTGAAATTAAACGGGAATCCTACAAACTGATATGTATTTTCAGTTCTTACAAATAATCTAAAAATAGAAAATTACAATTGAACTGAAAAATAAATTACAACTGAAAAACGGAAAGGTTTTGGCCGAGGCGAGTAAAACTCTTTCAGCAAGAAGAATACGCCCTGTGTGGCAGCTAATGGTTCAGGCGTAACTTCCCCAAAGATACAACGACAAACATCTCTAAATCTGTAGCACAACAGATTTACGAGCTCCGGCGAACGGGAACGGAATCGAGAATTGAGCACTCAAAAATAAAAGGAATATTCTGAAACAAATAAAAATATCACTTGTTTCTTCTCTTTTGATATTTTTATATCCGATAGAACAGACATATATATTTCGTTTCTTTCCTTTCTTTTTCTTTCTTCTCTCTTTCTTTCTCTATTTGGTGCATTTTCTGTTATGGCTGAGTGCCTATTTATAGGTAAAGAAAGGAATCAATCTGATCAAGTGGAGACAACTGTATTCACGCGTTTATGGTTGGCAGTATGGGATCAGAGCAGATGGCAGAGGGATGGGCATTTCAGCATTGACTCCAAGTGACCCATGTGCATATTCCAATTTGTGTAATTAGTACACATGGATGGGTCCCATTCCATTAAAAATTTCACTCAATTATTACAGGGCTTAGACTGCAAATTTCATATTGAGAGTGCACGGACGGAATCAACAACAAAAGCGGGTTAGAAAGTATTTTCTTCATGCCACATACGTTACATGAAGAAGGCCAACACGATCGATCCAAAAATCATACGGGGCTCGTATTCATTCACATATTCATTCGATATTTTTTTTACTCTTTTATTTTACTTTGTTCGATTATTTTATGTGAAGAAAGTTGTTGTCCTATTTTTGTTGGTATTTTCGTTATTGGTTTGCTAATATTTTTCCCCGTTTTTAGTGTTAGTGTATATATTTTACACTATTTTGCTGTTGAATCAGAATCATGTTTAATTAAACAATTCTTTTTTTTTATGTTTTACAGTTGGATAATTATGGTTCATCGCGGTTGGATAAAAGAACATATTAGTGGTTATTTGTGAACATAAATAATTAGTTCACAACCTAATTGGAAATGAATAAAGGTGTGTATTGAATTGGTCTCCATCCTTGGGAAGGTCATCCTTCCTCTCTATCATCTCTCGGCGAACCCTTTATATCTCTCGAAGAGTGGGATTTCTTATCTTTCTTTTCATCTTGAGCCTCCGTCTCGACTAGTTTCCCAGCTTGTAAGAAATCGACCTCCGCTTCCTCGACATTCATGTATTTAGCGCATCTAGCCAAAACCTCGTCAAAGGTCATACCTCGGTCGCTTTGCCAAGGAGTTCCTGCACAGTCCTGGTCGTAACCCTCGAGCTAATCCTCCTAATTTGATCCCCTATGAAATTGAAGGAACGTCTAGGCACGCCCATAGTGTATCGAGCTACATAGTCTCGAAGTGATTCTCCCTCTTTCTGTTGCATCCCAATCAAAGTAAGAAATGTTTTCTCATGATCCCTAACGCTCGTACATTGATTAAAGTTAAAGTTGAATCCCTCGAAGTCTTGGACAACCTCGGGTAGTAACTGATCAAACCAATCTTGATTTAGTCCCCTCAATGTTGTCAAGAAAGCTCGGGCATCGTACCTGATCACTATAATGATGTAGCACAACCATGTTCTCAAAAATCCTCAAGTGTCTAGATGGGTTTGTAGATCTGCCATACCACAAGTTCGGCTCTATATACCTTTGCGGTAAATCAGCGTCCAGAATATGCTGGGAAAAATGATGTCCCTCGTGCTGCTCCCCTTCTTCTCCTCTACTCGAGCCTGTAGGTCGCGAACTTGGGCCATTAGCTACTCCAAAGTATCATTCTTAACCTGCGGATTGATAGTTCTGACCGAAGACTCCTCTTCCTCTGCCTTTCTATTATGTTGTTCAATCGATTGGGCGTGCTGCTTCTGCTCATATTGAGGTGGTTGTTCAAGTCGAGGAGGCGGCTCGACTCAAGGTTGTTGTTCAGGTCGAGTTGCTGCTCGAGTTGAGCTGCCATTGTCTCTGATATTAACTTCTTCAATTCAACCTGAGTGACGGTCATGGTCTGATCCTCTAGTTGAGGCTGCTTCTGGGTTCCTCCTCGCTCCATCATTCCTTCCAGTTGTTTCTATTACCTCGAGGTACTTCTCACAATTTTTGCTCCCCAATAACCGAGCTCGAGTTCAACAACTGATTAGCTCCCTCTTGGGCCTAATGGGGGCAATCCCATCATGGAAATCATAGGTTTAGGGCTAGGAACCACATGGGGTCTCCTGTCTATCCATGCTCCTTTAAAATTCTCACTCTAATTACTCTACAAACCTTCCTTCTCAGCCATATCAAACAATTGCAACTTGGTGCGAAGCTCATAATTCCTTCAAGAACTCCCTACAGATGACGCAAAATAATGAAGTTCTCTCCTAGATCTGGACCGAACTGATTGTAATGAGTTTCGAACCATATAAATCGCCATGAACACCTGCAAGACTCAACGTCGGAAGGGTTTCCGCTGAAGAGCCTCCGATGCTTAAGTCAGTTTCAAAAAAAGAGACATGCTCTGCAGAAAGAGCAGTGTGAAATGTATATAAAGTGTAAAAGTTTGTGAAACGGTACCTCAGCTCCTTTTATAGGAAAAATACCCGCTCGAGTGCCTGCGGTCAGCCTGTCGGCTGCCCGAATGTTTAGTGTTTATCCATATCTTAATCACCTCTTAGTCAAATCCAGTCAGCTTAAGATTCCATCTTATCCTATAAAGATTCATCCTTATCCCTTACATCTGCTACCTGTGAATATATGATCCTCATCGGTGTAAACCTCGAGATGAAAGGTTTAGCGAGGTCGACCTCGAGATGCATGAGGTCGACTGAAGTTCTTTATATTAGTGAGTAGAAAGTTGTTATCCCTATACTACTCTTCTTGCAAGTCGCTCCTAGATCGTCCTCGAGGTCCTCGGGTTGCTCGTCTTTTTGCCGACATCGAATTATTATGTGGTTGCTCGTCTTCCAAGTCTTTGTCTCATCAGTGATCTCACAATCAACTTAAGGACCTCGAGTTACGATCATTCCAATGATTATAGCTGGTCTGCGTGCTTAAGGCAACTCGACTTACTGACCAGTCGAGCGTCAACAACGGTCTATGTGAGTATGGCTATGTCACACATCATGGGCAAAGTTTCAAAAAACATCTCAAGCGTGAGTTTCTCCCTTTTAATTATGTACGCACAATTTTATCAACATTTGAAAAGTTTAAGGCAAGGAACTCGGTCGGTGAATGAGTACAACAAAGATTTTTATAGGCTTCTTACTAGAGTTTCTTTGTGAGAGAGTACAGATTAAATCTTCGTTCGGTATGTCGGCAGTTTAGGGTTGCTGCTATAGGACACCTTGAATTTATTTGCCCATATGTCTGTGAGACGCCTATCGGTGGGCACTTCTTTTTTGAGCAGCAAATGGCGCGCCGAGTGGGTCCTTTGTTTCTGCCAGCAACACAGGCAAGTTCAGGCTTTTCGATGGGTGTCCAGGGTTCAATCTCCGGGTACACGACTACTGTGACCATGGGCGTTCAGGCTCTAGGTGCAGGGCTCGGGGCGGTCGTCTGTATGTATCGGGTAAGGGCACGACATCCGTAGCAACTACGACATCATCAGGTGCACAAGCAGCAGCCGGCTTGCGTTGCTTCTTCTACGGAAAGCTCGGACATCTCCAAGCTACATATTCTCATCCTGGCAACTCGTGGGCTCACATCACTAGTGACGGCTTCGACACATATGATGGCGTGGAGTATGAAAGGCCCCAAATTTTGACGAGGAGGCACCGATACAAGAAGAGCACCTTACGGGCGACATCGACACGACTCTTGTCCTTCATAGACATGTTTGACACCGTCGGTATCTTCTGAGGAGTCGGTGCAGCACCATCATATTTTAGAATCCACTTGCACCGTGGGTGGCCGGGTTTATCGGTTCATCATTGACTTTGGTTCATGCGAGAACGTGGTCGCCATAGAGGCCATGGATAAGCCTTGTCTCTCTCGCGAGCCTTATCCTTAGCCTTACACCCGCATATGGATTCAACGCGGTAGCTCTGGCATGGTGCATAAACGAGTCTTGGGTTCTATTGGGTCTACATACCGCGAGACGGCTTGGTGTGATGTTGTTCCGATGGACGCATTTTACCTTCTTTTTGGTCGTACTCGGTAGTTTGATCGTGCGGCGGCTCATGACGAGCGTCTTAACACCTATAGTTTCGTCTTTGAGGGTGTTATGATTGTACTCTACCGTTTCTGCCACGATCGCTACCATCGTTAATGAGCTATACGTTGAAGCTCTGGGAGAGGGTTATCGAGCATCGCCTACGACGAGTGACGAGTGTGAACCAAAACCAATTTGGGTTTATGTCTGGAAGGTCGACCATGGAGGCGATTTTCCTAATACGACAGTTGATGGAGAGATATAGGGACCAAAAGAAGGACTTGCACATGGTCTTTATCGACCTTGAGAAGGCTTATGACAGAGTACCGAGGAATGTCATGTGGTGGGCCTTAGAAAAGCACAAAGTCCCATCTAAGTACATTACCCTTATCAAGGATATGTACAAGGATGTGATGACGTGTGTCCGAACATGTGGGGGCGATACCAGCGACTTCCCATTTAAAATAGGACTACACCAGGGGTCAACATTGAGCTCTTATTTATTTTCCTTGGTGATGGATGAGGCCACAAGGGACATACAAAGTGATATCCCTTGGTGTATGCTCTTTGCTGATGATGTGGTGCTAGTTGACGAGAGTAGAGCAGGGGTAAATAGGAAGTTAGAACTGTGGAAGGACACGCTAGAATCGAAAGGCTTCAAACTTAGTAGGACCAAGACCGAGTACATGACGTGCGTTTTCAGCATGGCTACTCATGATGATGGTGACGTTAGCCTTGACGGGCAAGTGGTGGCCAAGGAGGAGACTTTCCGGTATTTAGGATCAATGCTAAAAATAATGGCGGCATTGATGAAGATGTTAGGCATAGAATTGCAGCTGGTTGGTTGAAATGACGTCAAGCTTCGGGAGTTCTATGTGATAAGAGGGTGCCACAAAGGCTAAAAGATAAGTTCTATAGGACGGCGACTCGCCCGGCGATGCTATACGGTGCTGAATGTTAGCCTACAAAAAGGCAACATGTCCAACAACTAAGTATAGCAGAGATGCGTATGTTGCGTATGTTTTGCGGGCACACAAGAAGGGATAGAATCCAGAATGAGGATATTCGAGATAGGGTCGGGGTGGCTCCAATAGAGGAGAAATTAGTTCAACATCGGCTGAGATGGTTCAGACATGTCCAACGGAGGCCTCCTGATGCACCGGTGCGTAGGAGAGTTCTACAGCGGGTCGATGATGTTAAAAGAAGTAGAGGTCGGCCTAAACTCACTTGGGAAGAGTCGGTTCAGAGAGACCTTAAAAATTGAAATATCTCCAAGGATTTAGCGGTGGATAGGAGCGCTTGGAGGCTAGCGATCAACGTGTCGAAACCGTGACTTTTTGCTCCTTTCTCTTTTGCTCCAATCTCTTTGTTTTGTTTTGTGTTGTTCTGTTTTGTTTTATTTTGTTCGAGCCATTTTTTGTGTTTCTTACCACTGTTTCTCTTGATTTTTATCTCTAGTCTACTCCAACTTGTTTAAGACTAAAAGACTTTGTTGTTGTTCTTGTTGTAGGTCTTTCACACAATTGCACAGTAACACTAGGGCGGGTCATAAACCCAGATTTGAACTGCCCACTGAAAATTCTCCTCACATTCACAACAGTCGATTGGATCAATATGATGACCTGAAAATAGCAGATCAAACCGAAGACTTTCCCTGTCATAAAATCCAATTTTTCCTCTACAGATCCGAGCATATTCAAAAGGGTCTTTCCCGATTGTCGATTCAGATCCGATAGGGGCTTGGTACAGACGGCGGGATGGCCTCCACCGTCCGATCTTTCTGTGTCTTCATCTTCTTCTTCTACACCGCGTTCCTCGTGACTGTTGCTTTCGGCAAGGTGATCGATTGGTGATTATTTTGCAGGGCTTCTGAATTTCTCCCTTTCTATTGCCTGTAGACCTTGTTTTTATGCGAACGTCTGTAAATTTTACTGCACTTGGGTTCCTCCTGCTGCGTGATTTCTGTTGCTGATGTCTCATTGTTGATATTGCTTTGTTATGTTTACAATTTACTGATCGGGAATATGAGGTTACAGATGTTTGTCGGCTGAGATTTTGATAGGGAAGAGTAGACATTGACTTTATGTTTTGATTATAGCATATGCTAGTAGGTTTTTACTTGTTCTACTCTCTTACTGTTGATCATACGGGGCTGCAACAAAGTTTTATAAAGCTTGGAAAGAAAATGTCAGAATACTAAAGGGGCTGGCCTTTGATTCGTCTTCCCTTCTTTTTTTTTTTGGTCATTAGATTTTGTTGATTCGACGGGTCAAAGAGGGTGCTTCGCATCTTATTGCACTAATTTTATTTCACGATGATTGTCCAAATCTCGATCATTTTTCTTTACTTTATTTCGTTGTGCATTAAATTGCAAACTTTTTCCTTGCCTGATTATGAGTAATGTCTTTTGCTTTATAAATGGATGTGATTATTATGTGTTTCATCAACATATATTCATGTTGTTTAAGACCCTGATCGTCTAATGCAAAAAATTTAATGCATGCTACCTTTTCAGCAGTTGATGTTATTTCATTTACCTGCAGTATGAAGCTGGTGAGACGGTCACTCTGTGGGTGAACAAGGTTGGTCCTTATAATAATCCCCAAGAGACCTACAATTACTACAGTCTTCCATTTTGCCACGCACCTGGCAACCCTGCTCACAAATGGGGTGGGCTCGGTGAGGTTCTTGGAGGGAACGAGCTCATCGATAGCCAGATCGAAATAAAATTCAAGAGTAATGTGATTTTACTGCTTATATAAAGCTTACTTGTTCTGTTTTCCTGCAAACATTGTACATTATATGTGGTTAATCTATTTTGCAGGAGATGTGGAGAAGACTACGATTTGTGAAATTGAACTTGATGCAGCAAAAGCTAAGCAGTTTAAGGATGCAATTGATAATTCATACTGGTTTGAATTTTTTATGGGTATGTTCAACAAGGTTCTTGCACTTACAAAATTTCTGATTGAGCTTATTATATACACACACCCGATTATATATCTGTTTAATTTTATGTACATATTCAGTACCTTTTTGTACTTCTCTAACCTTTGTTTTTTTTTGTGCTCTTCTTTATTGCTTGTGATCAGATGACCTGCCGTTGTGGGGTAAGTATCCGACTTTATCTTATAGTTTATTTTATTGTTGTGCTATGATATCTATCAGCTATGTTGAACTCTGATTCAACTGTGAACCCTGTGCATAGGTTTTGTTGGTGAGGTTCTTCCTGATAGAAACCGTGATACTAAGCATGTGCTATGGACACACAAGAATCTTGTTATCAATTACAATGGGAACCAGGTTGACTAGAACAAAGATTATTTACAAACTTATTAATTCCGGCAACCAAATATAAGATGATTGTTCATTTTGAACTGATAGAATGTGCTCTTGCAGATTATTCATGTCAATCTCACTCAAGATAACCCTAAGCCACTTGAAGAGGGACGAGCGCTCGATATGACATACTCCGTCAAATGGGTTCCAACGAACATTACATTTGCACGCCGTTTTGATGTTTATTTGGATTACCCGTTTTTTGAGCACCAGGTGTGTTTTCCTCAATGTTGCATAGTTTTGCAGTGAATATGTCCCTGTTAGCTGATCCATGTTTGGAACTACTTGTTTATTTACTTTTAAGATTCGATACCCATGTACTAGTTAATATTCTTTAAATATGCCGACAATATTTTCATGAAAGTCTCAAAGCTGATATTCAGAAGTTATTGCCCAAATTTGTGTGCCATTATCTTTCCTAGCCAGCTCTAGTTAATATTCTTTAAATATGCCGGCAATATTTTGATGAAAGTCTCAAAGCTGATATCTAGAAGTTATTGCCAAAATTTGTGTGCCATTAGTTTCCCCAGCCAGCTCATCCGAGCATTTTCGTTTTGCAGATCCACTGGTTTTCTGTCTTTAATTCTTTCATGATGGTAATTTTCCTTACTGGATTGGTGTCAATGATATTAATGCGAACTCTGCGCAATGACTATGCCAAATATGCCCGGGAAGATGATGATCTCGAGACTCTGGTAATGATTGTGATTTTTCTTGTCTAAAATTCACACTACACTGATGTTTTTTACTTTTTTTATTACATACTGGAAGCTTGATTAATTAAATTAATGAGTAGGAACGGGATGTAAGTGAAGAATCTGGTTGGAAACTTGTTCATGGTGATGTGTTCCGGCCTCCCCATAATCTGGCTCTGCTATCTGCAGTTGTTGGCACTGGCGCTCAGCTGGCCACACTTGTTTTGCTCGTCATCATTTTAGCAATTGTGGGAATGCTTTACATAGGGTATGCTATGACCACTTACATATCTCATTGTAGTCTGCAAACTTTTAATTTTAATGTTATGATCATTGATCATCTCGAACAGAAGATGTTTAGATTGTTAGTTGCTTAGTCCCAACATGTTTGCTAAATGACCTTACATCGCACAGAAATAGTGCCTAATAGTTTGAATGGTGCAATGACTTGTGTGCTCTGACCTTTCTGGATCATTGTGGGGAATGAATATGGAGGAAATTGAGATTGAGAAGTAGTGCCGCATGAGAACTACAATATGAATTTCTGCATTCCACAGTTACTAATTCTTGTTTTAAACATATTTTTCTTGATTTTTGGGTGAAATATGTTATTCATCGCCCATTACATTTTCGAGAAGTATTTTGCCTGATATATTACGCAGCCAACCTTCCTCTAGACGGTATTGGTTCCATTATATATTATCTAAATTGAAATAGATATAGTCTTTATAAGTTGGCCTCTTACAAGTTGGAATTCATTCCATTCTGTCTGTTTTCATATTTTTGTCTGATAAGAGTTGGAAACTTTTTTGCTCTTTATTGCATAAATAATATACATCTACCATATGAGGCGTGAGCACGTGTTCGTGATTCTGCTTCGCTGCTGAAGGGTATTACTTTTTCTTCAATGTTGTTATTTAACTTGATTGTTTTATAACTTCTACCCTCTCCATATTGTTTGATTCAGGAGAGGAGCAATTGTCACCACCTTCATCGTATGCTATGCTTTTACCTCATTTATTGCTGGTTATGTCAGCGGTGGCATGTATTCCCGCAATGGTGGTATGTAACATTGCTTGCTAGCTTTTTTTACTTGTTCAACCCTATATCTTATTATGTGTACTATTATTTCAAATCTTTTGTGAATCATCTAAGTGGTGATAATAACTTCTGTTGCCTCTTGTTAGGTAAGAAATGGATTAAGTCAATGATCCTCACGGCCTCACTCTTCCCATTCTTGTGCTTTGGAATTGGCTTCATCCTCAACACAGTTGCTATATTTTATGGTTCCCTGGCCGCCATCCCATTTGGTACAATGGTGGTTGTTTTTGTCATATGGGCCTTTATTTCATTCCCCTTGGCTCTTCTGGGCACCGTTGTGGGAAGAAACTGGAGTGGCACCCCAAACAATCCTTGCCGAGTGAAGACTATCCCTCGCCCAATTCCGGAGAAGAAATGGTACCTGACACCATCCGTTATATCTCTCATGGGGGGTCTGCTTCCTTTTGGAAGCATCTTTATCGAGATGTATTTTGTCTTCACCTCCTTCTGGAATTACAAGGTAATTTTAACTTTTAGTTTTCAGTGTTCATTGTTCTTATGCTTTGCCGGAGACATTTCAAAATGTGCATTGAAGTTTGAAAATCAGTATATGTTAAATTATTGTGATATTGTGATTTTCGCTATTCCTCATTTGGTTCACCGTGTTGATAGGTTTACTATGTGTACGGCTTCATGCTTCTCGTGTTTGTGATTCTGATCATTGTCACCGTTTGCGTGACAATTGTGGGCACATATTTCTTGTTGAATGCCGAGAACTACCATTGGCAGTGGACTTCGTTTTTCTCCGCTGCCTCAACTGCTCTATACGTATACTTCTATTCGGTATATTACTACCATGTCAAGACCAAGATGTCGGGCTTCTTCCAGACCAGCTTCTATTTTGGATACACTTTGATGTTCTGTCTTGGTCTTGGAATACTATGTGGTAAGTCTGCTTTGCACTTTCCTCGACTTTAAAGAGTACGGGAACTATTATTCATCCATTTATCATTTGGTCTGCAAATTGTATTAATTTTCGCTACAAACATGCAGGTGCGGTTGGATTTTTGGGATCCAACTTGTTTGTCAGGAGAATTTACAAGAACATCAAGTGTGACTAGATTTCTATAATATATACGTGAAGTACTTGGGTTTGATTGTTGGATCGTAAGTTGAATGTGACGATGGGGAAACGAGGAAAGAGAGCCTGAGAAGACGAGTCGAATCTTTTTGTAGCAGTGGATTCGTTAATATTACAGCTTTTGGCTATAGAGATTTGGATTGTGAATTAGAAATAACTACATTTTGCATACTCCCATTAACATCAAAATATTTGTAGGTGTAAAATCTCGTGCCTTATAGGGCATTTGTCGCCTGACTCGCTATTTAACTCGGACTGATGATTCTTGATTTTTTCGTCCTCACTGAATTCGACCATAAGAACTAAAACTTTTTTTATTCACCGGAAAATGTGGGATCTGACTTCATAAAATGGAATTTGCTGGCACTTTCTCCTGTTTACATTGTCAAGTGCCCTTGGGATGGAAGTTGATTTTTTTTTTTAATAAATTAGTTAAAAGTTACAATAAAAATCTAAATTGACTGGATTTATTTCCTTTTTTTTAGTGGTTTGTTTTTATTTTATTTCTTTTCGTTTTATTTCATTTGTTTACCAGGTATTGATTATTATTTAATTATGATTTTAACTATTATCTTCAAGTTTTGACCAAGTCCTCTACAAAATGAAAGTGGTGCAAAAAAGAAAAGAATTAAAGTAGTATAAAGAAGGAAAAAAAAAAGAGAGAAAATTACCCCTTCATCATCTTTATATTCCACTCAAAATACTACTTCAGTTATTCTCTTGTATATAAGAGTCTTTATTCCACTTAAACGAGCACCTCAATCGCTCACCATTGGCCACTCGTACATCAAATAGATCCATCTTGGTCAAAGGTAACTTCAATTTCTGAGAGGTGTTTATGAAGTTGTGAGACGACCCGTTATCCACAAGTACCACAATGCGCTGGTCTCGGACCCACGCGGGTAAACAAATGGTTTTTGGCCCCTTTGTCCAGGCCATGGCATGGACATAAATCTCCAAGTCATCATTATGTACCTCAGCTTCAGAGTGTGGTTCTTCCTCCATATACTCCTCCTTGTCGGAATCTACCAATTCGACCATGAAAGTTTGTTCACATCAATGCCCCGGCGTGAACTTCTAATCGCAATTAAAACAAAAGACCTTTTCACGCTGATGATTCATCTCTTCATAGGTAATTTTCCTAACACTTGGTGGTGGAGATCGAGGATTACTTGATGAAACCCCACTCACACCTTGATTGACGGGAGGCGCGGTCTGCACGACACAGCTCGACTCAGTGATACGCAGGTATCCGCGCCTGACTCTATGGCAGCGTTAAGGTGGTCCTTCCTCATGCGCGCGGCTTCGAAGGCATGCCTCATCGACCTAGGTTTTCCCATACGGACCTCCTGAAAGATATTTTATTTTGGCATTAGTTCGTCAGTTCGAACAAACACCTGGAACCACAGAAATAAAGGGAAGATCTTCAAATATTTTATTTCCTTAATTGAGTTTATTTTATATTCCATATATAAGATATTATGGGTCTTATTATGGTATTTTATTTTGTAGAAAATCGGATGTGATTAAATTAAAAGAAGGAGTGGTGTGCATGCTAAGGAGATCATAGAGAGAGAATGAAATATTCACTTACCTAAATTGAGCTACAATTAAGGAAGAAAATCAAGCTTGGAGTTCTAAGCCTTGTAGAAGACTCCAACCTTAAGGAGTATATATATAAATACCCTAGAGGAAGCTCTAATTGTGGCTGCTGAAATTAGAGAAGATTTTTAGAGCAATACTTGAGCTTCACATTTTTTGTTCTATTCAGTTGTACGCAGTTCAGTACGAGAGTTCTTACAAACTCAAGGACTGAAGCTGTTTTGTTTAGTTTCTTTGTTTCATCCAACTATCTTTTGCTTTTACACTTAGGGAGTAAGTGTACGATAAAAAGTCCACGGGACGTGACCGGAGAAATAGTTGATAGGATCGTGAGTAGTGTTGGCTAGGCTTAAAGGGAGTTTGAGTCGTTGTAAGTCCAAACTATGTTCGTGTTCAATCTATCAATGAAAGAGCTCTGAGGGGAAGTGGGATGCTTCCCTAAAGAGTTTTTTAAATCTTCGGTTTATTGCTTCCGCATTGTTCAGTTCTTATTTTAGTTCGTACGATAAATAGCGCACTCCATAACAATTATACGTTTCAATTGGCACCAGAGCAGTGTTTCTGTTCTAACTACGGGATAAAGATCTTTGGGACTGTGTATCGGGTACCATGAGTCATGATGGGATGTCTGTTACGCGCCCTCCGTTTCTTGATGGTTCCAACTACTCATACTGGAAATCCATGATGGTGATCTTCCTTCCATCTCTTGGTAAAGGCACATGGCAGGCTGTTGAGAATGGTTGGACTTTACCCCTCCAAGAAAAAGTTCCTGCTGAAACTAAGGGTGGTGAGTCCTCGGATGGAAAGTCGTCAACTACCAAAGTACTGGTTGAAAAACCAAGGAGCATCTGGATCGACGATGAAAAGCAAGCAGAAGAGGCTAATTTTCGAGCTTTATATGCTATCATGTCTGCTGTAGATCCCACCCGGCACAAGATAATAATTCAGTGCACTACCGCTCAAGAAGCTTGGAGGATCTTGGAGAGACAGTTTCAAGGCACGAATGCGGTTAAAACGTCAAAGCTCCAAAGAGTCTCAACTGAGCTCGATGAGATCCATATGAGGGAGGATGAAACCATTGACATGTATTATGCTCGGTTCTGCGACCTGGTTAACCAAAGTGCAATGCTTGGTGAGCCGGTTCCTGAAGCTAGACAAGTGCAGAAACTGATGAGAACTCTACCAGACAGGTTTGGGATCAAAATTACTGCACTAGAAAGTTTTCAGAGGATTCAAAAACTTGGCATTGATGATCTTCTCAGCGAACTGCGCACCTTTGAAATCAACCATGGCTTTGACTCTATGAGGATAAACAAAGGGAAAGGGCTAGCTTTAAAGGCCAAGGTTCGTACTGCAGTTGCTGAGGATGACGAATTTGATGAAGAATCTTTTGATCCTGATGAAATCACAAAGGCTCTCACCGTGCTCACTAAGAATGTCTCAAAGCTGAAGAAATTTCAGAACAAGAGATTCCAGGACAACAGGCCCTTGAAGGTGGTAGGAACCAAATTCAGCAATTTGGAGAAAAGCGATCTGGCATGCAACTGAACAAGTTTTAGATTTCTAACCAAGGAGTAGAAAAAGACCAGTGCCGTGAATGCAAAGGATTCGGCCACTTCCAAAAGGAGTGTCCTAATTTCAAGAAGAAGAATAAGACATTCAAGGCTACATGGTCTGATTCCAGTGACGACGAGGAGGGAGAATCTGAAAAGACTGAGAATAACTACTCTAATAACTCTGCTAAATGTCTTCTTAATGAATATAACTGTTTTACTTCCTCTGTTCATCTGACTGATGTTGAATCTGATGCAGGTTCTTACGCAAAAAACTTGAGCGAGGTGGACTCTGATGAATTCTCGGACCCTGCTGCCGAAAATCTTGTACTCCACAAGTACGCCATCGAAAAGTGTCTCAAGACAAGGGATATCATCAACAAGTACCAGGCTCAAAAACAGAAGATGAAGGCTATGGAACAACGTTCTGCCGAACGTGAAAAGGAGATTGACTATCTCCAGAACGAACTTCAGAAGATGAGGGTGATGACTGTTGATTTGAACGAGAAACTCATCAAATCAGACCTTCACATTGGAAAACAAGACAAGGACTTAAACAGTTGTTTTGCAAAACTTGCACTGGTTGAGCATGGGGATAAACTCAACAAACAGGAAAGTGAAGAACAAAGTTTTACCATCGAATCTCTGCGTAACGAATTGTTTGCTGTGCAAAGTCTTGCAGGTGAAAGAGAAACTGAAATAGTTATTCTCAAGGAGGAACTCGGTCGGGTAATGGAGGAACATGTGGCACTTCGGAGTCACTGTTCTACCCTTGAAGAAAGACTGAGTAAGAGCGAAGAAGTTGTTCGAATGATCAACAAGCCAAGGGCTTCATATGCTGAAGTTCAAAAACTGAGTCAGCAGATTGGTTCATCCAACCAAAGTAAGAATGTCCAGAACCAGAAACTGAAAGAGAAGGTTGGAGAATCAACCTCATCACTGGGTAAGGCCGATCTAACTTTTGTTAAAGAAGGATACTCAATTGACTCCAAGAAAGGTAAGCCATACTCTCCAAAGGCTCAGCACAAGAATACTGGTAAGAACTTTGTACCAGTCTGTCACTACTGTAGGATTTGCGGTCATATTCATCCCAAGTGCTATAGAATGCATAATGATATTTACACGGGTCGAATTAACGACTGGAGTCCTCATGGTGTTCCCATGAAAGCTCCTAAATTAAAATTTGATATAGTAAATCATGAACAGAAAAAGATCTGGGTTCCTAAGGAACGTAAGAACGTCTGTCTGTCCTCCATACTTGCTTTGAAATCCACATCCAACTCTGACTGGTATTTTGATAGTGGATGTTCTCGTCATATGACAGGTCTGAGGTCTAACTTAACCAATATAATGCCTGTCTCTTCCAATTCAGTCACCTTTGGTGATGGGGCAAAAAATAAGGTTCTTGGGATTGGGTGCTTGAATGTTCATGGTCTGCCCAAACTTAAAAATGTTCTCTTGGTTCAAAACTTGAAAGCCAATCTTTTGAGTATCAGTCAATTATGTGATCAGGGTTTGTATGTGAATTTTACTAAAACTCAGTGTCATGTGTCTGATCAAGAAAATAAACATGTTCTTACTGGTACTAGGTCCAGGGATAACTGCTATCTTGTGGAACTTGATTTGAAATGTAACAAAACCAGTATTGAATTGACTGAACTCTGGCATCAAAAGCTAGGTCACATTAACTATCCCCACGTGATTGAACTCTCTTCCACATGCGCTGTTCGAGGATTGCCGAAACTGAAGAAGGAAGAACCACAAGTTTGCGGATCGTGCCAAATGGCCAAACAGAAAAGGGCTTCGCATAAGAGGTTGACAGAGG